AAATCATCATACAGCGTATAAACACACTCTATTCAAGCGTTTGTTAAATATATGGTATATTTATTATTTTCAAGTTATGATAATTTTGAGCTTTTTTAGCTTTTCAACTTCAAAATCGAGAATTTAGGTACCCAATTTTGTAAAGGGAAAAATTCTATGTAGGAGATTACAATATCTTTGATTTTCAGGTAAAAATTTTAAAAGGTTATTAGTGTAGGAGTTTACATTTAATGATGATTCAGGTAAAAAGGTTATTTTTGTAGGAGTTTACATTTGGCCGAGGAGAGGACCATTCAGTGAGATAATCATCTAGTGATGACTTATTTTGTAATGTGTTATATTTAATTTGTAGATAATCAAAAAGATTTGCTATTAATAATATTGAATAATAATTATAAATTTTAATGAAGCTCTTCCTATTTTCAATATATAATCAATATATGATAACAAAATGAATATTTTCGTGTAATAATAGTAAGAGTAAACATTTTTTTGTTGTGAATTTACCGTTTGTTTATTACTCGGGTATTCGTATAAAAAGTGAAAAAAAAACCTGAAAATCTTTATATTGTTCATACAACACTTTATAAATTATATATATATATATATATCTAATAAATAATATATTTATATATTGATACCCCATTTACTTATTATGCAAAATAGTTAGGTACTATAAATAAAAAAATAATATTCGTGTAAATTCAAAACTAAATTTAGAAAAAGTACTTTAAAAACATTTTTTATCCCAACTATTAAAATACATTGGAATGCACCGACAATTCGAAGGTTATAATAGTTATAAATTATTACACATACCATTCGTCTATTCAGATCAAATTTGTAAATTAAAATATTTATTATTGAACGGAGCAACAACGTATTAGTTTTTATTTAATTTTTTATTTATATAGTTTTTTATGTTCGTAGTATTATTAAATGGTATGATATGATCAGACATTATTACAATTTGATCTATGAGAATGCAATTCTATGAAATCACGATTATATTATTTATCATATTTATGTGGGTATTGCAGTTCAACCTTCTATTTCATCGTGACGCAGTTGTTATCATTGAATGTACGCTGTCGAGTTTCTGTACAGACTGCCAAAACTCGTTGAAGAGTAATCTCAAAGTCAAAATAACACGTTGTGTTCATTACGTATATTTATTTGGAATTCAATTACGCTATAAACCGTTGTTTAACACGATGATACTCGGAATTTTATTAATATTTTTTGTATCATGGCATACAACAAAGGTATGTTAAAAATAATAAATACCCTTAACTTTGCAATCATTTATAAAACAAAAATCTTAACGATTGAGACATGAATGACATACCTGGTATTATTTTCATTTTCATTCGATTAAAATATATAATAAATGCGTTTTCATATGCACCACGTGAGTATATTTTCATATACATGAATATGAAAATAAATGAATTATGATGTGTTTTAGTATGTTTTTTTTTCTGGATGTTCACAAAATCTCCACGAAATTGTTTGCTGCATTCGGATTACTGTAAATGTTTCTATTTTTTTTTTTTTTAATTTCTCCTCTATATTCCAAATAATTTAGAAAAAATTACAAAAAATATTTACGTTATACAAAAATGAAAATTTTTCGAATAAGTCACAAAAAGTAATAATCTAAGAAATTTCAATCATCGTTGATTGCAGAAATGATACTGAATGAAAACCACCTTTCTCTAGAGATGGTATGATTAAAAAAACATTTAGACTTTTTTTTGTCTTGACTATAAATATTTTAAATTTTCGTGTTTTCAAAATTCAATTTTTAGAAAATTTCTGTTTAATAATTTTAATTAGATTTAGGTCTTCAAATTTTTAAGCGAAAATCCTCACATATTGTTTATATTTGTAAAAAGAAAATTAAGAGTTACAATATTTTTATAAGCGTTTAAATTATTAATTTCAACAAAATTCGATAAAAACCTAATGGTTAACCCTGCATCATTGTCGTATACATTATCTTTCAATTTTTATTTGGTGACATGAATATTAGACATAAAGTTTTTCCAATTTTTTTCTGTTACCACCGAAAAAAAAGTTCGGTATAAAGATTGAAATTTTTTTATATGCATTTGAACTATAAATGTTGACGAATTGGATATTTATACGAATATTTATAAACAATATTAGTTATTTTGTATATGTTATTAGTGTATGTATATTAACCAGAGAGACTACAAACAAAAACTGATCGGATACTTTTATTATCATTATGTATGTATTATAATATTAATTTTATCGTTAATTTCAACTCTGGTTATTAAATCATTTATATCAATTAGGTTTCACTTATATGTGCATATATATATTTTTTTTATATGATTCTGTTTAACCCACCTGATTATGAAAATTATTCGAATTATAGTATTAGTGTCAACACTTAGGTATAACTACATAGAAATATAAATTATCTTTTGATATAAAGTTGCATTCAATACATTTCCTCAGCTTGGAATCATTTTTTCCGAAAGCGAAACGGAACATTGATTTAAAATCTAAATGAAGAATAATTAGCCTTTATAATTTACTAGTCTCTGTACATAACCCGACCTCCTGTGATTCATGTTTTTTATATTTTATAATAAATCATTTTGTTTTTATTTTGAAAAACAAATTACTAGTATTGAAAAATACTATTAAAAAAAAATCAACCTATAATAACAATAATGGTACATTATAACGTATAGACACACAATGGTTTAGTCACCAAGTCTAAATATTATATATTATAGGCATATTCGCATGCATTTTTACTCAAACGAGTTGACAACGATTAATGTTTGGAATTCGTATTTACTCGCGTATATAGATGCGGTTGCGGCTATAAAACGTAAAATTATTATTTTAGGCGAACTACGCGATGATTATCGAAGAATTGTCAATTTGCGCACCAAATTCGAAAATTGTAACAAACTATACATACACTAGTGCAACGAGGAAAGGACCAGTTGGACAATACGAGATTTTAGAAGATATAGAATCAAATTCCAATATTCAGGTTAATTATGCTGTCCTTTTAAATTTCACCTATCTTTCATGTACAGTATATGAATTAATACACGCCCTAAGGTTAATAATTTTTTTACTTCGTTTCAGGTGTCAACGAGTGCCCAATACAATTCTTATACAGGATTCCCGTTGAAGATTCCTAGGTTCAATGTTACAAAAATTAGTTTTTGTACGTTTATCAGTATCGACTCGTATATTTTACCATATTTTAGGCAATTCATTGATTTGGAAAAACATTGTCCTTTGAAACAGGTAAACCATTAGACTTTTACTGCTAATTAACATAGTAATATGTTCTACGAGTACTATTCGTTGATTTTTCACATTGTTCTGTTGCAGGGAGTGTATATGATTCATAGAAGCTCGATTTTGAGCAACAAAAAATGTTTCATACCATATGGTTGTTGGAATTTCGAGATCAAGCTCTGGAAAAACGGGAAAACGTTCGGGTGCCTTCATGTTTTAGTACAGATCTTACCGTCGTTGAATTCAGTAAACTTAAAATGCAATAAAGGTAACGTTTTATTGAAGCAAACCGCTTACAATTTCTACATAATATTATGACTTGATATATGTAATAATTTATTTTTAATGTATATCCAGGATGAATCACGCGTAGAATCAAAAATGTTAAGTGTTGGTGAAGTTCAACAATGATTATACACTAATCACATACTGTCATTATGCACTGATAAATTCAAGTGAAATGTTCTGTAGGAGTATATTATGCAAAATACTTATTATTTTATTACATTATAAGCACATCCATCTATACTGTTATTGATTTAGCATAACCAATATCATCTCTATACTGATACAATTTATATTACTTAATATTATTATTATTATTATTATTATTTACCATTCGCAAATATCAATGAGCAATATGGATAAAATCATATTAACTGGTAATGTGATAAAAACCGCGGCAGATATACAGAGGCAAAACTACGTATAATGAGTCAAAGAGACATTATCGATCCAGTTTTTGATTGCATACACTCGTATAACTCGTAAAACTATAACTACGACGTAATTTTTTAAATGTATTTAAATGTATTTTAGCATATTCAAAATTATATTTATCTAAGCTATTCACAAACTCACAAGTTTAGATGTATCAAATAATCAATTACTTAATAGTGTAAACATATTTAGTGAAATTGAAAATATTTCGATTTATATTCCCGGTCCCAATAGGAAAATATTTAAAGACAAATTAAAATATGCCTTAGAAAAAAAATTAAGGATATAAAACAATTAAAACTTACTCTGAGGTTATAAAAGGAAATCAAAGTGTTAATTTAGATATAACATCAATTTTTTTAAATTATTTTAAATATGCATCGATAACAAATGTAGATGTTGAACGTCTTTTTTTCATTATATAAACATATTTTAAATAATAGACAGTATAATTTTCAAGAACATAATTTAGAAGTGTATAGTATTATAAATTTTAATTGAAAAAAATGATATATTTTGTATTATATTAATGTCCATAATATTATCTAAGTAAGGAATTAATGAATATATTTGATATGATTTTAATGTATTTTTCATTGCAGTTTTAACATATTTATATTGCAATTTTGATAAATTTTTAATGTAATTTTGGCATCTTTTTAATGTAATTTTAAGATATTTTTAATGCAATTATATCCGGTCTTTAGTTATGACTTAAAACAAATTTATATTTTACTATTAGACTATCCTGCAATCGTTTTTTAAACAATATGCAAATTCAACAAGTCCTGAACCCTATATATAACTATATAATATGTCGTGTTTAGTGTGTAAAATATGTAGAATTAGATTGGATAGTGGTGGTCGGCGGACCCGTAGTTCTATCGCCGCTCGTCATGACGCGCTTAACAAAAATATCTCTATAATTAATAATAAAAATGGTATTTAAAATCCCGTTAAACCAATAATTTTCTGGTATTTTCTATTGGAAATATTTGACTCCCAGTTACTTGTGGTTTTAACATTTATTTTTCAATAAAGTAGTGAAATAAACTCGATTATTTGATTCAAGTCGAATGAAATCATAAATTCGATTTAAGAGGAGAAAATAAAAATATAACAATAATAATAATAATAATAATTATTATTATTATTATAATATATAATAAAATAAACGACGGTGCTAATTTAACCCCGCATGTGCGACAATGTATTCGAACTAAAACTATTTAGAATAAAATAAGACTTTTCATTTACGAAATAATTAGTTATTCATAGTTTTGATTTGTTATTGTCTAACTCTGAGTATTCAGTGTAGAACTATAGGACTAATAATAATTTAGGGCTGTCCAATCATTTTGGGTATGCACTCTTCTTAATACTCTGATAGTACCTGCAGTACTTTGTATATTTTTAAAGTGTATGAATCGTTTCAACGTGAAATTGTTCAGCTTTGATCACTCCAATACAGTGATAATTGTATCAAAAACATATTCGAAATGCTTACATTTTTATAAATATCCGGTTGAAAAAAGTTAGCCATTCGAGATTTTACGAAGATAGGTGATCATCGTTAGGGTCATCCAATTATACTAGTATATCATTCTGCAGAGATGGCGCACCAGGATAGGGCCAATAGGAGGTCAACAATTATAAGGTAGGGTTGCAAAAAATTAGTTCTTCAAAAAAAAAAAAATAATAATTATGAGCCAATTATTATATTTTAAAATTTGACATTATTACAAATCTATGATAAAATTACTTTAAAATAATTTTGCTTATGAAAAATTATTACATATATCATTATGTCTAAGGTCAAGACAGCGTTAGGGTCTTTGCTTTCTTGACCCATCCTTGCCACCCTGCATGTGAACACAGTCATGCACCCAAGACATTTATTTGAAGGTTGTTGGCCTTTAAATCGTTTTTAATATTTCGTCTTTTTTTTTCTGGAAATTCCTACCGTATGTTAACACAACTTTTGGTTTTTCGGATGGAAATAATTTTGCATTAATAATTCAATAAACATGTTGGGCGATGGCTTCAAACGGTTGGATACGTGCGACCGGCTGTTAACGGTGTTGTGCAATGGCGTAGTGATGGGAGAGGGGCAGGGAGCGGCAACATTTCACAGCGAATAATAAAATATATTTTGTAAATATTTGAAACATTTCATATTTTTAATGCAACTATAAATCGGACCGAATGAAAAGAGCACGGATTTTTTTCATTACTTATTCTGTGACGAACTCAGGAATTCCGTTTCTTTGAATCATATTTTGTGCTTGAATTGTTTATGACTTATAATCGGCGAGAATGACTTCTATTACATATATATTAAGTTCAATATTGTTTATTACGTCCCTTTAAGAAAGTACGTGATGCTTTGACAATTCAAAGAAAGTTTTATTCATGGATCTTCAGTTGTTTAGTTCACACCGTTTCGTAACTGTGACTTTTGTGCAAATAAGTACGTGAAGTGGTTATGAAATTATTGGATAACTTTGTAAAAATTTGAATTTTCCTCTACGTTTACCTACATTTAACTGTATGAGTATTAAATATTTTATTTATGTAATTGTATGTTGGACTCTCTGATATTTTGTTCAAGCTTTAATTTATTAAAATCCGGTCATGTACGAGTTTTACACTCGCATACCCAAGGTTCCGAACAAATATTTACGATTTTCAGTTTTTCGCCTTTAGATAGATGAGATGTAAAATATACCTAATTTTTGAAATGTTCAGTAGTTTCTTTTGTAACACTAACTTTTTTCATTACAATTTTTTTTTTTATTTTAGCATCAAAAATGAAAATAATAAAATAAATCGGGACGGAATAAGATAGTTATAATAAGTATAAGTATGTATAAGTAATAGAACCTACCTAATTAAAATTAGGGTTTACCTCGACGATCGCATGATTAAATAATACCTTTGTACATAGGCGCAACTAAGGTAAAATATCTGTGGGACTACAGCCCTTCTATCAAATCTTAAAATAATCTGTAGATAACTCCTACTCTTATATACTATGTTAATATAGGTATTTTAGTTGGATTTACTGCAATCAAGGCCAGATTAAGGGGGGTGGTCTAGCCGGGACGGTAGCCCCGTGACTCAAACAATTTTAAGCCGATACACATTTTTTATCATTCTAACATTAGTAGTTTTATAGACATAAATGGTATATACCTATTCATTTCATAACTTTATAATGCGATTGACAATTTGTGAAATACTTAAAAAAATGTATCGTTCTGCGAGCGGCTTTTTAAAGTATGTTTTGTCAAAAGGACCCATATAAAATTTCAGCCCTGGGGCCCAATAGGTGCTTAATCCGGCCTTGACTGCAATGTGTCTTTTTGTATGTGACAATATTATGAGTTAAGTATGCTGTATGCAGTATGTTATGTATAACATGGAATATTTATGGGGGCTAATCCCCTTAACCGACCCCCCAGTTACGCCTATGCCTTTGAATCTGTTATATCAATGGTTGAAGTAATAATTTT